ATTTAAATTACCACATTTGGGGGCGCCTGGGTGGCGCAGTCGGTTAAGCATCCGACTTCAGCCAGGTCACGATCTCGCGGTCCGTGAGTTCGAGCCCCGCGTCGGGCTCTGGGCTGATGGGTCGGAGCCTGGAGCCTGTTTCCGATTCTGTGTCTCCCTCTCTCTCTGCCCCTCCCCCGTTCATGCTCTGTCTCTCTCTGTCCCAAAAATAAATAAAAAACGTTGAAAAAAAAATTAAAAAAAAAATAAATTACCACATTTGGTGGATTAGGAACGATGTGAGAAACAGGAAAAATCAGGGCAATGTGTCATTCAGTGTTGATTTATTTTGACCAGGAATGTTTAATTTCAATTATTCATTGTAGACTTTTGTAGGAAAGCGGCTAATGTGTTCCAGGAAGCTGTGTTAAGGGAACACATGAAGCGAACGGCAGCTTGTGAGCTCACAGTCCTCTGCACAAAACCCTTCCCTGAGGTAAGATCTGGAAGAAGGGAGGGAAGAATTCAGTCCTTCGTGCAGTCAGGCAGCTGGCATTTTTTGTTTTGATTTTTTTTTAATCAGCCAAGTAGCGTGGATATTCTCTTTGTCTTTTTAATTTTTAAATTTAATTTCTTTTTATATGCCTTGGCATATGCAGAAGTTTCTCCAGATGCATAAATGCAATTGTATGTGGTTCTACTCTGCTTTGCTTTTCCATTTATTATTGGCCCCCCGCTTCCCTCTCTGGTCTTCCCTTCACCACATGGCCCCTACCCCCTACCTACGCACTCCCGTAGTGCATGATTACAACCAACTACGTGTCCGTCCTTACCATTCCCCATCTACACACACTGTAAGAAGCCATAGCCAGGCCTGTCCACGGAAAGCTCCCACGTGGACCTGAATGGTAAAGCCCTGGATCATGTAAATGCAGACACAGATGCTGGGAAGCCATAGGACCTGAGACTCGGGCACCGCAAAGGGGAGTAGCTCGGTGTGGATGAGTCGTGGATGGTGGGCTTGGCCAGCCGGGTTCGCAGAGCACCTGAATTGCTGGGTGACGTGTGACATCATCAGATGCTGGCCAGGCCTTTGTGGGGGTGGATGGTAAAGCCCAGGAGGCCTCTGTTTAGGGCAGCCTCCTCTGGCTGGAGCCTTCTGTAGGAGGAACAGAAGGCAATCCCTGGAACCTCCCTCTCTCTGATGCACTCTTTGTGCTGTTCTCGCAACTTTTTACACTCGGTGGAGCTTGTGAGTCGGACTGAGCAATACTAAAGACCTTCATCTCTGCCGTCTTTGAATCCAGTATAAGGCCTAAATAGGGAGGAGTGTTCATACAGTGAATTTGTATAGGGGCCCCTGGGCGGCTCCAACTTTGACTCAGGTCATGATCTCGCGGTTCATGTCGCAGTTCTCCCGCGAGCCCCACGTCAGGCTCTGCACTGACAGCTCAGGGCCTGGAGCCGGCTCCAGATTCTGTCTCCCTCTCTCTCTCTCTGCCTTTCCCCTGCTCATGCTCTGGCCCTCCATCTCTCTCTCTTTCAAAAACAAGCGGACATTTGAAAAGGTAAATAAATGAAATAAGTTTGTAAGTTGGGGCACCTGGTTAGCTTAGTCGGTTAAGCGTCTGACTCTTGATTTCGGCTCAGGTCACGCTCTCACGATTTGTGAGGTTGAGCCCTACGTCAAGGCTCTGTGCGGACAGCACAGAGTCTGCTTGTGTTTCTCTCTCTGCCTCTCTCCCACTAGCGCGCGCTCTCTCTCTCCCTCTCAAAATAAACGAACTCCTCCCAAAAAGTATTTTAAAATGAGTTTGTAGATCAAAAATTGGATTTGAATATCTTGTGCATCCTTCTCTATCGTCCTTTTTCTTGCTCAGGGAATTCCCTTCAGTTCAAGTGGCCTGGTGCTCGTGCATTCTTTTCTAGTGGTGTCACCTTCCGGGCCCCGTTCCGATCAATGACCATCCGTGACACTGCCAGCTTTCCTTTTTCCTTTCTCTCTTTTTTCTGTCGCGAACATTTCTGCCATAAACATCCTCGTACATATGTCCTGAGGCACAGGTGCTTTTATTGCTATGGAATGGATTTGCAGGAATGAGACTCCTGCAACAAGGATGAACCTTGAACACATGACACTGTGTGAGAGGAGCCAGTTATAAATACGATTCCACTTATATGAAGTGTTCAGAATAGGCAAATTCAAAGAGACAGATATAGATTGTTGGTGGGTGCCTAGGGGTGGGCGGGAAAAGAGGAGTGATTGGTTGCTAACGGATGCCAGGCAGGGTCGGGGTTCTTTGGGGGGGCGATGAAAAGAATCTGAAATTGGTTGTGGTGGTGGTTTCACAACTCTGAATGTGCTAAAAACCGTAGGATCGTATACTTTAAGTGGGTGACTTGTATGGCATATACACCATAGCTCAGGAGAGCTGTTATTAAGAAAATAATGAGAGGGGGCGCCTGGGTGGCGCACTCGGTTAAGCGTCCGACTTC